CCTCTGGTGCAGGGCTGGGGGTGGGGGGGCGGACTGCCTGGGGAGGGGGCACCTCCCAGCTGCCCTAGGTCCAGGGTAAGGCCTTAGCCGCCTCCGGGGGCTCGGGCCCTGGAGACCCTCGTGCTCTACGGCGGGCGGTGCTGGCTGCAAAAATTCTGCGAATGCAAATTCCTGCGCTGGCCCCGCCCCCGTGCGGGTGGGGGCCCCGAGAGCGCATTCCTGAGCGTGTGGCCCCGCCCCCGGCAGGCTGGCCACGCCCCGCCCGGCGGGCCTGAGTCTGGGAAGGTCCCTGCGACCCCGCCCTGTCTCGGCGCCGGGCCTGGCTGGGGGCCCGCCACTCAGCCCACGAGTCGGGCAGGGCCGGACGCCCGGGGACGGCGTTACGACAGCCACAGCGCTCCCGGGCGCTCGCCCTCCCCACCAGGTCCAGCTTCTCCCCTGGCAGCCCCGCAGCAAGCGTCACTGTACAGATGGAGAACAGAGGGGCAGAGGGACTTCCCCGCGGCACACAGCCAGCGAGCGAGCCCAGGAGCCTGGCTTCTGGCTCCCAGCATGCTTCCTCCCACGCAGGTCCCCTCGCTGTCCTCCCGAATCCCTCTGGGGCTCGGGGCGGAAATGCTCAACCGCCACCCGGATGGGAACGAGCTGTTTATTCTGAGCCGCTTCAGGCAAAGAGTCGGTCACCACTGGCGTTTGTCAGACTCGAGGCAGGCTGGAGGGTGGGAGCACTTCGTATTTTAGTTCCATGTATATATGTTCGCTGTTAGTGTGGACGTGCGTGTACAATGTATGCGTGCGGTGCATATTTTTTAAGCATTCATTTTTAAAAATTACTGTATTTAAAATTTTTATTGTATAATTATTTATTATTATTAAAATTATTTATGTAAGTAATTTCTACACACAATGTGGAGCTCGAACTCACCACCTTAACTGAAATCAAGAGTCAGAGGCTCCTCTGACTGAGCCAGCCAGGCGCCCCACATCTGTACTTCTTATATATAATTGTTGCCATGTATGTGTAATATCATGTGCACACGTATGAGGTATTCACGTAGTACGTACACGTTACACGATATATGCTTACTGGGCATGTGTAATATTATGCACATTAACGTACATGTGCAGCCTATGTACGTAGTATAGAATACATGCGTTAATTATCACTATTTAGTACATATAATATCTATGTGTATACGATGTATACGTGTAGTACATGGGTTCTGTAGCATGTATATGTTAATATGTGAAAGTATTTTCTATATACAGAAAGCTTCGTTGTAGGAAAAAGGGGGGCTCAGGGGCACCCGGGGGAGGGGCTGGGGGCCTGGGGAAGTGGGACAGCCCGCGTGATCGCTTGGGGAGTGCGCTCGGCTTTCTGGTTGGTCCTCAGGTGGACGTGGCAACAGAAACTGTGGAAGCTGTCATCCAGCCCCGGCCATGTGGGACACTGTCCCAGGGTGGTTGTGCGTCAGAGAGCGAGGTCCGACTTCCCGCAGGTCTGCCGTGGAGACAGCGGGCTTCCTCCTGGGCTGTGGCTGCAGTCTGTGGGTCGGAGTTCTGTCCTGGTGTCTGGCCGCCGTCCATCCGTGTATTCAGGAGCTCGTCCTGAAGGGCAGTTGGAACATTTCTAGGGAGTCATCCTCCACCCAGGACCTAAGCAGGTGGGCCCTGGATGAGGCCAGGCAGCCTGGTGGCATCACAGAGGGAGAAAAGTCATCCCTACCCACAGCTGAACTCACTCTCCTAGTTGGACGCCCTCTCCATACTGGGCCACAGCCCGGTGCCTCGTGGGGCATGGCCAGCTTGTGAAACTCAGCTCCGGGGCACACAGCTTAGGATCCTTCGTGGACAGGCCGGTGGATGGGCCGGTCGCCTGCTGCTGTGGTCCCAACCACCCCACCCCCACGGGCCAAGGGAGCCCCCCCAGGTGGGGTCCCTTGGGGTGGAGAGCCCGTGGCCGCCAGGAACCCGGTGGGGCGCTCTGGGCCATGCAGGCTGGCTCTGAGAGGTTGTTTTCTGCATCTAGGGACCCCTGGGGCTCTTGGCCGGGGAAGATACTTAGGATGCTGGAGGCCTGGCCTGGGAGAGGTCATGTTCCAGCCACTCAGCCTGTGCCAGGGAAACAGGGACTTGGGCCAGTGGGGCGGGGGTGGGGGCGGGGCAGGCAGGGTCAGTCCCGACTGCGTCTTTAGGCAGCAGCACCCGAGGTGCGTGGCAGCGTGTGCGAAGGCCCCTCTGCTGTGCTCTTCGTGGTGGTGGGAGCGGCCCCCTCCCCTGCCACCAGGAGGCCGCCCAGGAGGGACCAGAGCCACAGCCAGCAGCGGTCAGCAGGGATGAGAAGCCAGGAGAGTGTGAGGGGCGGCCCGCGGCAGGGCCTGGAATGGGTGGGCAGAGGCAGCCGGAAGGTCTTGCGCATCTGGGTGAGTGGACGGTGAGGGAGGGGGTAAGAGGGCCGGGCTTGAGGGAGCAGGTGGGCTGTGCGGTCACAGGGAGGGCTGTAAGGGCTCCTGGGGGACGGTGACCGCCACCCGGCCACCCCGCTGCAAGGACACCGCACCCACTCCCTCTCAGGATGCCCCCAGTAGGCTGATGCAGAAATTCAGGCAAGGAAAGGAGGCTCAGACGGCTCGAGTGGCCGGTGGGCCCAGAGCCGTTCCTCACCCCCCCGGCCGCCCCACTGGGGGACCCCAGGGGCCTGTCGCGCAGTCAGCCAGGCAGGAGGATGAGGGCCTCGGTGCGGGTCTGGGCCCACTGCAAGCAGGAGGGGCTGCTGAAAGGCCAGGCCAGCCATGCCAGTGGGGGGAGGGGGGGCGCCCGGGAAGCACAAGGGACAATACCCAAGAGTCACCAAGGCAGAGGGGGCGGGAGGCCTCCAGCTGCACCACAGTGAGCACAGAGGGCCCAGAGCCAGGCCTGGGACAGGCCCCTGGGCTCTCGACCCCGCTCGGCCTGCATCTCCTACATATGACCTCAGATGGTCCGTGGGGTCTCCCCCCGACTTACCAGGTCCCGCAGCCCTGAGATCGAGGCCAGGTTGGACGGCCAGCCTCTCCCAGCCCCCCTCGGACTGGAGTGCAGTCTCACTCAGCCCTGCCCTTTCCAACAGGGGGGCGGTGGGCATGTGACCGCGCTTCTCTGGGTGCCTCCCCCGTTCCTGTCCTGTCAGGTGGGCGCGGTGGGGGGCTGGGGGGCTGTGGCGTCCCCGGGCGCGAGGCGTGACAGTACCGCCGCGCTCTGGTCTTCGGGCTCCCTCTCGGCAGCCCCGTGCTGTCCTTCTCAGGCTCTAAATATAAAACCTGAGCCATACATGGTCGCGGAGAGCCTGGGCTGCCCCTGACTTTTGAGGCCGGTCCCCAGAGGCCGCGGTCCGGGACGGCGTCACCACCGAGGGGCCGGAGGAGGGGGGCTTGCCGGGGGTGGCGAGGGCGGAGGCACAGCCCGGCCTCTTTAGGGGAAAGGTGTGTGTGAGGGGACATCCGGTGCTCCGTCCACGTTGGTTGGCAAACGCAGGGCCGCGGAAGCCAGGGCCTGGCAGGCTGCTTCTCCGCAGGGAGGGCCCGCGATTGGGTGGGCACCGGGCATGACCCTCAAGTCAGCCCCTTCCCCGGCACACGCCTGAGGCCTGGAATTGCCCCGCTGTCCCTATCTGACCCTGTCCACTGGGCAGGGGAAGTGCCCCGGGACAAGATAAGGGAGCCCCGGAGACGCCACTTTTGTTCCATCATCACCGCTGGGTCAGTGGTATTCCTGCCGGTGTAGCCGCCTCGAGGCCCTCGGGTGGGCGGGGGACGCTGCTGTCAGCCCAGCCGCTGTGGCCAGGAGCGCCTGGCACGGAGGAAGCCCGGGGGCGGTGGCAGCCCAGACGGGGCGAGGGTCTGCCCGCAGCCCTCCCCCCCCACCCCCCGCAGGGCAAACCCGGTGGGCGGGTGGGGATACTGAGGCAGGGGACCCCGCCCGCACCGGCCCCAGCCTCTCCAGCAGTGGGGCACCCGGGGCGCGGAGTTGGGCTCGGGACTGACGCTCCCCTCCCTCCGGCCCTGCAGTTCGGCAAGATGTCGGTGAAGGAGGGCGCGCAGCGCAAGTGGGCGGCGCTGAAAGAGAAGCTGGGGGCCCAGGACTCGGACCCCACGGAGGCCAACCTGGAGAGCGCCGACCCCGAGCTGTGCATCCGGCTGCTGCAGATGCCGTCCGTGGTCAACTACTCGGGGCTGCGCAAGCGTCTGGAGAGCAGCGACGGTGGCTGGATGGTGCAGTTCCTGGAGCAGAGCGGCCTGGACCTGCTGCTCGAGGCCCTGGCGCGCCTGTCTGGCCGCGGGGTGGCCCGCATCGCCGACGCCCTCCTGCAGCTCACCTGCATCAGCTGCGTGCGCGCCGTCCTGAACTCGCAGCGGGGCATCGAGTACATCCTCAGCAACCAGGCCTACGTGCGCCAGCTCTCCCTGGGTGAGCCGCGGGCTGCCGGGAGGCCAGGCCGGCACAGACAGCCCCTTAGTAACTCTGGGGGAGGCTCCAGGCCCCGGAGGGCAGCAGGAGGGCTGGGGTCACAGGAGAGAACTCAGCTGGGCAGGCAGGGAGGGCTTCCCGGAGGAGGAACCGGGTTCGCATCGGCCCCAGGTCCGGGACGTCCAGGTGACCTTGGAGCCCTGGTCCTCCACCGGCCGCACCTGGTTGCCCGGTCTGTTCTGTGACCCTGCCCGGCCTTTCCGCCCAGCCCTGCGCTTGTTGGGGCCTCACCCTCTTCCCCCGGCTCTGCCTACACCACTCCCACCACCCGCCACCCAGGTCCGGGCCCTGGCGGCTGGAGTCCCGCTTGCCTTCCACCTGGCTCCGAGCCCTTTGAGCCTCGCCGGAACCCCAGCCCTTGCCGATGGCCTCTTCCTCCCCCTTCCCCCACACCCCTACCCCTGCCCATTCTGTGCCCTCTCCAACCACCTGGGGCTTCACCTCCAGCTCAGGCTGCTCTCTGCCTTCGTGTGCCTGCTGATTCCTTAAGTTCTTTTTTTTATTTTTTTTAATGTTTATTTATTTTTGACGGGGAGAGAGAGAGAGAGAGAGAGAGACAGAGCATGGGTGGGGGAGGGGCAAGACAGAGGGAGACACAGAATCTGAAGCAGGCTCCGGGCTCTGAGCTGTCAGCACAGAGCCGGACGCGGGGCTCGAACCCACGAACCGCGAGATCATGACCCGAGCTGAAGTCGGACGCTTCACCGACTGAGCCACCCAGGCGCCCCTGACTCCTTAAGTTCTGACTCCCGCTCCCCTCCTCCAGGAAGTCTCCCAAGGCTGCGCCCAGGGTTGGTCTTCCACCCTTGAGAGCAACCTCAGGTGGCCCTTAGTGAGCAGGGATCACTGTGTGTCCCTTGCCTGCCAGCCTGTGCTGCTCCATGGCAGCACCCGGGCCCCACGATGCTTGGGGCTCCAGGAGGGGCCAGTGACGGGTGAGTCGGCCCGTGGGGTGGGCGAGTGCCCGTGTGGGTGAGCAAGCCACAGGCCACCTCGTTCCTGCCCTACCCAGCCTGGGCTTGGCTGTGCCCCCTGTGCCAGCTCGGGGGATAAGGTGGGAGGCGGGGGGCCATGAGGACGACGGGGCATCCCAGGCTGTCAAGCACAGTCGGTACTGAGTTTGATGGAAGCATGGGTTCGGCCCAGGGCCATGTGCCAGCGTGGCCCTCGGCAGATCCAACAGGGACCCCTCTCAGAACTGAGGCCCAGTCCAAGTGGACCCCCGCCTGCGAGCCCGTGCCTGCGGGGTCTGCCTCTCTGGTCCCAGAGGCGGGTCTGGGCACCTGGGGAGGCCAGCCCGGGAGGTGGCCGGTGTGCCGGTGCAGGGCGCCCTCTGGTGTCCACCTGCGGAAGTGTGAGTTCAGCTCAGACAGGCCCGGGGGTGGGGGGACCAGCCGCCAGGAGGGGAGAGGGGGGAGCCGGGCCTGGGGGCCTGGGCCCCCGCTGAGACTCCCCCACAATCCCCCACCCCTCGGCAGCTCTGGACACGTCCAACGTGATGGTCAAGAAGCAGGTGTTTGAGCTGCTGGCTGCCTTGTGCATCTACTCGCCCGAAGGCCACATGCTGACCCTGGATGCCCTGGACCACTACAAGGTGAGCCTCGGGGGACCCTGGGGCCTCGGTGGGCCCGGGGCACGTGCTGACCCCTGCCCGCCCTGCAGACCGTGTGCAGCCAGCAGTACCGCTTCAGCGTCATCATGAATGAGCTCTCGGACAGCGACAACGTGCCCTATGTCGTCACCCTGCTCAGTGTGATCAATGCCATCATCCTGGGCCCCGAGGACCTCCGCACCCGCACCCAGCTGCGCGGGGAGTTCACCGGTAACCGCCCGCAGCCCGCCCCAGGACCCCAGAGGAAGGCTCTGGGAAGCCGGCCCCCACCTCCCCCCATCGGGGGACTCGGGGCCTCTCGGTGTTGACGCCCATCCCCAGCTCCGGTCCTACCAGCTGTGGGATGACCCCTTAGTGGGTGCAACCACGTGTCCCTCCAGAGTGTTCCTGGGCCCTTAGGAATGGCACCACCTTCAGGGGGGTGGGAATAAGCCCACGGGGAGACCAGAGGAGAGGCATCAGAGGTGCAAGCGACTGGGGTCGGGGTGGGGGGGGCTGGTGGCAGCAGCCTCTGAGGCCTGCTGACTCCTCCTGTCCCTTCCCAGGGCTGCAGCTGCTGGACGTTCTGACACGTCTGCGGTGAGTCCCCTGCACCGTCCCCCAAAGCCAGGCTCGCCTTTCCCTGGGCCCCACACAGCACCTCCAGAGGGGCAGGAGAGGGCTTCTGCCGCTGGACCCAGGCCGGGTGACAACCCAGTGTGCCAGACGGGCCACTCTGCGGGGTCTCCCTGCCTGGGGCCTTGGAGCTGCCCTTGGAGGCTAGGGTTGCCTCATGCAGTGCAGGACCCCTAGCTGAATAAGAGGGCTCCTTCCGTGTAAGTATATCCCAGATGTCGTATAGGATATACATATGCCAAAGGTCACTGGTCGTTTATCTGAAATTCAAACTTATTTGGGGAATCCACGTAGCAGAGAACCCCCATCCTGGGCCTTCTCAAGACCACTCTCCTGGGTGGGACCCCAGCCCCGGGGATGCCAGCTGGGGAGTGGGGAGCCAGGGGGAGGAGCCTGGGCCTGTGGCTCTGCTGCTGAGCTGGCCTCGGGCTGAGGTGTGGCCACATGCGAAGCGTGGGCCACGCTGAGGGTCGTCCGTGCGTCTGTCCAGGGCCGGGGGAGGCTGGGGGGTGGGGGGCAGCGGCTTCAGCCCATCCGGCCCCCTCGCCCCAGGGATCTGGAGGACGCCGACCTGCTGATCCAGTTGGAGGCCTTCGAGGAGGCCAAGGCGGAGGATGCAGAGGAGCTTCTGCGCATCTGCGGCGGCGTCGACATGAACAACCACCAGGAAGTCTTCACTTCTGTGTTCCACAAGGTGACGACCCCCGGGACTGTGGCCTGGGCGCCGGGGCTCGGACACGGCTGCCTTCCCGGCCCTTGTAGGCCCCACCCCCAGCGGAGCCGTGGGCCAGATGTGGAGACGCGAGGGAGCAGTGAGGGGTCAGGGGGCTGGAGAGGGGAGAGCCTGGCGCCTGGCGGTAGGTCCGGGCTGTCACAGGCACAGAGCCAGGGCCCCAGGACCCAGGAGGACAGTATCGCAAAGGCCTGGGCTGCCCAGAGGGAGCTGGACTGTCCTGGGCCCCAGGACTGTCGCTGGCTACCGCCAAATGGCCTGAGGGGCCCCAGGACCAGCAAGAGGCCAGGAGGCTGATCTCTGGTCCAGCTCAGGCCCTCCCTGGCTGGGACCTTCTGTCCTTCAAAGAAACCGTGGCTCTCATCCAGGCGCGAGCGTCCCCAGGGGGCATCCAGAAACATCCAGAGACATGAGGGTTGCCACAGTGGGGCAGAGGGCACTATTGGCTTCACGGGGGCCGGACCAGCATCCCACAATGCACAAGGAAGCCCCCGCACGGAGAGCAGCCCCACCCCAAATGTCACCGGTGCGACGGTCAGGGAACCGTGACCCCAGCTCATCACCGGGGCCCTGCAAGCCGTAGAGTGCTGATGGGGTGGACGTTCCCGGAAAGCTGAGGTGCTCCCGCTGACCCAGCCTCTGCCCCCCAGGTGAGCTGCTCCCCGGCGTCCGCCCAGCTGCTGTCCGTGCTGCAGGGCCTGCTGTACCTGGAGCCCACCCTGCCCTCCAGCCAGCTGCTCTGGGAGGCTCTGGAGAACCTGGTGAACCGGGCCGTGCTCCTGGCCAGTGACGGTGAGCAGGTGGGGCCCAGCGGGCACGGTGCCCACAGCCCACAGCCCTCACCCACCTCCCGCCCTGACCCCCCCCCTCCCCCCATGCATGGCCAGCAG